CCGGGACTACCTCGGGGAGGCTGTGACTCTTCGCCACGCACAATGGTCTCGAGGTAAGAGAGGTTTTGCTAGGTCAAGAGGCTGACACCACAATGGACGCTCCTTTCGTGAACAGATATTCACTAGACCTAGGGTGAAGTAAGGGGGGGAACCCACTACCCACAACACCAACACTTCTTACCCCCTGCCTCTCGAGGCTCAGTCCCATTTTCTTTGAGAGACTGCGGTTATTTAACAGGCAGTCATTTGCCAACAAAATAGTCAATGGTTTGATCCTAGAATTCTGTCTTTCAGAAGTTCTAAAGTCTATTTATAGAATGTGACTAAACGTGATGTGTCCTTTTTTTTTAAAGTCCCACTCAGAGCTTATGTGTTGGCTCTGGTTTGAATGTAGAAAATGCCCATAAGTGTTCCCCCCCCCCCCCCCCCTTTTTTTTTTGTTAAGGTCCAAATGACACGAATGTGACCTTTCTTGTGGGATGTAAACATGAGGTAAAATGGGAACAGATGATGTCACCACATTATTCTTATGCTTTTTCTTCATTCATCAGAGCATAACTGAAGTTAATTTGTGCCCCGTCTCCACAGTGAAGGTATGCTACAGTGTACCACTGCTGTGTTTAGGGGTATTGTGTGGTGAGGCCCCATTCTCTTCCATGGTGTGACTCTCATACTAGGATCTGAAAACTGTGAGAACGGGTTTTTAAAATTAACAAATTGTCTGGGGGCAGAAACCGAACCATGTTATTCATGGATAATGAAACTGCTAAATGTATTCATCAACCACTAAGCCAAGGGTGGGCAAACTATGGCTTGCGGGCCTCTGTTAGCTCCGAAGGTTGTCGGTTTATTTTTTTTAAGTACTTTAAACTTTTTGTTTAGATCTCTGGTCACTTTTGCTTGGGAGTTTATCTATAGAGTTTGAACTGTGTGTCTTCTTCTTCTTTGTGTTCACCGGCTGTAAACTCTGGTGGAAAGTTCTGGTTGTTCATCCACTTCTGGACTGCAGTCCTGTTTTAGAATCTGAGTGTTGTATGTGCATCCATTTGAGAGATCTGACTTATTTGTGTACAGACTGTTGGTTCCCTGCCTCTTGGGCAGATGCACTCCGACTTCGAAGAAAGCTCCCAATTAGTCGACTCTAAAGACATGCTTTAGGGTAGGCAGTGGTCTATTCTTGTTTTCCCTATAATAGGGCCCTGGAACTCACATGGGGGAGTTGTGTTTGATTCTGTCAGCACTAAGCCTGCACTCTGTAGAGACAGTCTGAGCCACATAGAATACAACAGTGCAATAAAGTCGTTACTCTCACCATTCAACCTCCCCTTTTCATAATGCCACTTATTGTTTGGTCGTTCCCGCCAATATGATTTGTTATTTGCCAGAGACAAAACAGAAATGTTAAAAATGTAGTTTTCCTTCTGTCCTAGGATTATGACTTTCACGTGAGGTGGCCAACTGTAAAACTTCTGACGGTATTGCTCACAAACAGGCAGAAAGAACTACAAGAAATCATACTTGTGATTCCAATGGGTGTGTCTAGGCTAATGGATCTCCTGTCTGACAGTCGTGAGATTATCCGAAATGATGTGAGCAGTGTTTATTAGTTTGTAAGATTATTGCTTGTTCACCTTTTGCAGCATGGCTTGATATTTTGCCCTTGTGGGTTATCAAGAACTCTTTTTAGGCCAACTCTGTGCTACCAGTGTCAAACATGGACCTTTACTACAAGTAATGAGTGCAGAATCATAACAGAGATAAGATTTCTTTGAAGAGCTGCTTGAATAATGGACCCTTTTCCACGCCTTCAGGGGTATTGGGTATATAGGGCTAGACCTATATTTTATAGACTAATTGGCACTGGGTGGGTGATGTGATCGACATTACGCTGACCACCGCCTTGATTTCACAGGACTATATCTAGTACCCCCTCGAGGCTGGCTCAACGTGGGAGCCAAAGTCATTTTTGAATGAGGTCTGGCTCCGTCAGGGACCTAACCCACGACCTTCCGATTTCCAGGTGAGCATCTAGCCACTACACCAAGGGGGCTTCCCACTTGAATAATGAGAAGCGATAAAATAAAAAACAGCAAACAAATTAGAAGAAAATACTACTGAAACCAGTCGTACAATTAATTAAAGAGCAGTAGATAGATGGTTTGACAATCTGATGAGAATGACAGTAACATCTGCCACTAACAGCCTGAAGCTGATTTCTGTGAGCTGTTGTCATTGCCCATGGCTCACACCCATGGGTCAGGACTGGCATATAGGTAGAGCGGTAAACCAATTCAGAACAGTGCGGAAATTCCTTCTCTACATGGCACAAAGCCTGGGCAGTATTGTAGAGACCTTGTGTTGACCATGTGGCAGACTTCTTTGTTTACTCCAAAGGAAAGTTAACAACTCTCAGCTGCCAAACAAGGCTAAGGGCTTGATCTGCACTCTGCCTACCATAACATTAAGTTTTAAGGTTGAATTTCTTCTTCCTATGTAAGGCTTTTGTATTCTTTATATGATGACTATCTCCCAGTCATTGAGGAAGAAAATAGGCCCTTTCGAGCTGAAATGCTATAGAAGGGTTCTCAGAATACCATGGACAATGAGATAAAGATATACTAATATTCGAAATCTAAAATATCTGAATATTAAAGAAGATTGGCTAATAAACAGCATCTTATCTCGGAAGAAACATTTTGGCCTTATCAAACACCATAGGGGATTAGAAAATATAAAACAGTCAACATGGTACCAGGAAGGAGGGGCAGGGGCCAACCAACAGGAAGATGAGAACAGGGTGTAAGTGACTCCTTGGAAATGTCAGTTCCTGAATGAAATCAAATCAAATCATAAAGTGCATGAGGTGGGAGAGCTGTTAAAAGACCAAGTTTCTTTCAGGCATTCTGTGACGAGAACGACGCTGTGCAAAAGACTTGCTATGATGAGGATGATGATACAATGATTATTCTTGTAAAATAGCGGAGGATTTTTTTTTTAGTAACAAAGATAACTGGAGTTGGTTAACCAACTTCAAAATACCATCATATATGCAGAGACCCTTTGTGCCTTATGGTAGTGTGTAGAACTGATGATGACCTTTAGCAGTAGTGAAACCAGTACGTATATGAACTATTTGATTGTGGCTCTGCCACTTACTTACAAACATGAAATCTGATACATTCTGCAGTATCATCTCCTGCAGCCAAGAGTAAAGTTAAGAACTGGCATCACAGCACTCAGGACATTTCCATAAGCACTCCATCCCTATCTTCATCAGCCAGCACAGAGTTCCATTTCCAGTAGCAGTCTGATTGTATGTCCATCTTGACTTTACTTGAATGTTGATTGTTGGCCAGATACCATGGTCACTCACTGCTGCACCAGAAAAACTGGTAGAAAATCTCTAGAAGCATTGTTATCTTTTCTAGTTACTGTATGGGAGACGGTCAGCTCTAAACTTGTAACGCAACAGTTATAGAATGAATAAATGCTCTGTCATTATTTTCAAAGGGTCATTAATCAGTTTACATAACATGAATATTAAGAACAGGCATATGTGTGCATGCGTGTGTGTGGGCGCATGTGCGTGTGTGCACACTTATGTATATTATTGGCGACGGTGCCACCCATTGGCTGGCTGGTAGCCGACTTCGTTGTCATTGGGACAGAATTTGGGTCTGTTTCCTTTGATCACATCAAAACTGCAAGAGTCCCCCTCAGGGCTACTTGGTGGCAAGTAGTGCTAGGCCATTTTGTATAGTGCAGATACTAGTCACAATTATAACCTGAAGCTACCCCTTCGGTGGTGCTTTTTGTATGTGACGATTTTTTGTGTGTGGGTTGTTGTTAAGCAAAGCCCCAAAAAAAACACACAACTTATGTATGTATGTATGTACGTTTGCATGCTCACACACATGTAAGTGCTACGCACACACTCATGTACGCGCGTGCACTCATACACAGATTTATGTCTATGTGTATATAATATATATATATATATGTGTATGTGTGTGAATATATATATATATATATATTATATATATATAAAATATGTCATTCTTTTGTTTATTTATTAGGCATTGCTACTGCTTAACCAGCTCACAAAGGGGCATGCCAACATTCAGAAAATAGTTGCTTTTGAAAATGCATTTGAGAGAATTCTGGATATCATTAGGGATGAGGGAGCAACCGATGGAGGTAAGGGCTGTTGGAATAATTACATGATTCCTGAATATTCTTCTTTTTATAGCATATGCTCTAAGGCGTTAGTATTCATGAATTACCACGGCCTTTCGTCTCTTGCCACTTCCGACACAGATAATTCTTCTTGCCATGATGTCAGACTTTCCAGCATCATCTTTCATTGTCTTTACCTGTCTCTGTTTTTCTCAAACCTTTCTGCTGTCACAAAGTACCCCAGGCTTTCCTCTTCTCACAGTGTTATCAAAGAATGTACATTATTTGCTGATGTGGGTAATGTTCTCTGTTTTAAATGCAATGCCGTTTTCACAGTATCATATTCAAACTTATAAGAAAAGAATTTTCTCAACATCATTGAAAAAATGGTATTGTAGTATAAGAAGCAATCTGCAAAATTTGAGGTATATAAAAATTATTGGCACTTTCGCACTCTATTAAAATATGGAATTAGCACTATATGCCTGGAAGCTGCAGTGGCGTAATAGCTTGACACTCACCTGCGGGCCTAAAGGTCAAGCAAATGGCTGACCATCTCAGAATAACAGGAATCTGCAGATCTGCTAATTGCAGCACACTTTTACAGAGTTTTGTTAACCTGCACACAGCTGCTTTAGCTTGGTTTGTTTCTATATTTAACTTTTTAATGCATCTTTCTCCCCATATGGGTCCTGGGGCTCCATTTTGTATAACAAAGAATAAGTGCACACCCTCTCCCAACCCTTCCCTCCTCCCAGTCCCTGCCTCAACAAGCATGTCATAAGAGGTAACTGATTATGGGTGTTTTCTTCAATGTCTGAGTGCATCTACCCGAGAGTCAGTTAACCAACAGCCTGAATACACAAAAGCCAGATTTGTGAAACAGATATGCACACGAAACTCAAGTTCTTGATCAGGACCCAAGTCTTGAAAAACAACCAGAACTTTCTGTTGGAGTTAAGAAGAAGAAATACATCTTCACCTGCTGTTATCAAAGTGCCCTAATGTTGGATAAGATGACTTATTTCAGACTGATACCATGTACCATGATAAGGCATATTTATATGTAATACTGCAAATAATTTTAAGAGGACAACTTTTGATGCAGGTATTGTGGTAGAGGATTGTTTGCTGCTTCTGTACAACCTCTTGCGAAATAACACATCCAACCAGAATTTCTTCAAAGAAGGCAGCTACATTCAGAAGCTGAAGACATTTTTTCTTCTTGATGAGGAGTCGCATTCTAAACAAGGTTGGTCAGCCCAGAAGGTGACCAATATGCACCTACTTTTACAGGTGAGAGCCATAAGGTCTAAACTGGTTTCTTTGTAGATAGTTACTTTGCAGTGTTGCATTATATAAAATTGCACAACAGGTAGAAATATAAACATAACTGTGGAGCAAGCTCAACACCAGGCTTCTGGTCATCATAAGTTCCCCCTTCTGTGAATATTTCTTCTGACTGTTGATATTTTTCACATTCTGTGGGCCAACACAGGTAATAACTCCCAGATGTCTTTCTCCTGTTGTGTATCTGTGTCCTGTATCTTCAAAGCTGGCTGCATGTTTAGCAGATTATACCACAGTGTGTGGCATTGAAATGTCCTCAGTCTGCAAACCAAACTTAAGGTAGAGAGAGCTGCAGTGCTTCCAGTGCTGCTATATGCTTGTGAAACATATACAGGGATGTTTCCTTTGAAGGTGGAGTGCATTTGCCTAATAGGCAAGGAACCAACAGTCTGCATGCAAATAAGCCAGATATGTGAAACAAATGTGCACACAAAACCCGAGTTCCTGTCCTCATTGCCCTAGATTCTTTTGGGCCTGTATTGGGCTTGTAAGTCACCTCCGGACTCACAGTCAACTGTAGTTTCATGACCGATGAAAGAAAGAGGTCCTCATCACCTGTGATGGATGAACAACAGCAACAACGACAACAGTCTGTGTCCGGCATGTCAGCTTGGAAATATGTTAACTGTCAGTTGTCACTACTTTGCCAATATGTGTGCCTAACTGACAACTACCACAGCCTCAACAAGATTTATATGATGTGCATGTGGCATCGTAATTAATTCATTTCTTACAGTACCTGTTGATTTCGTTGGGAGAAAGTCAGCTTCTTTCCTAAGCAGCTTGGCAACTGTTTGATCCTTCACATGTAAGGTTGCTTTATCACACTGAACTCCCTTACCACCATGTTGCTTCTTCACACTACATAGTCCATGGTTCAGGATCTGAATTTCTTCTTTCTCCAGAAGGAAGCTAGTTTTCCTCCTGGTTGCTGCCTTTCTCCTGTCATCAGTATTTTGCTGTTTTGCTGAGTAAACTGACTCAAGTGTTGCCTCTAGTTCAATCGTCAATGATAGTGGGGGTATGGAAATTTCTTTACCTTGGTATACATTGTATTCCAGAGTGACTTTCTCTTTCCTGCCTTCGTCTTTTTTATGCCCCCCCCCCCACCCTCCCTTTTTTTCCCCCCATTTCATTATAAGAATTAATCTTTTTCTTCTGAAAATGTAACTGCATTGTGCCAGCTTACATCATGGCTGCGATATTTGCACCTTTCAGCTGACACATCCAACTTCTGCGGCCATTTGATGACTGAATTCGCCTTCCCAGCATAAGAATTCTGTATCTTCTTCTTGTTCTTCGCGTTCACCTGCTGTCTCTAGATTTTAGCCGTTTTCCAGAAGCTGAGTTTTGCATGCACGTCCATTTTACAGATCTGCCTTATTTGTATCCAGAATTTTGGTTCTTTGCCTCTCATGCAGATGCACTCTGACTTTGAAGGAAGCCCCCAGTTAGTCGACTCTTACGACATGCTCGTTGGGGGGGGGGGGGGGGCGGGCGTGGGTCTGTTCTTGTTTTCCCCACAGTGGGATCCCCGAACCCACACGGGGAGAATGCTGTATCAGCGTTTGGGCAATTATGACATATATGATTTTTTTTTTCTGTCTACAGTTGGTGAGAATCTTGGTGTCCCCAAATAATCCTCAGAACCAGACTGTATCCTGCCAGAAAGTCATGAATCAATGTGGTATGTGCCAACAGCCTTGTTGTTTGACAATAGATTACCATTTTCCCCCAACTATAAGACACACTAATTTTTAAAAAATGTAGGATTGAAAAACAATGTATGTCTTATACAATGGTTGTAGATTTTTACCAAATGATTTGTTGAAAAGTATCACCTACAGGGCCTCGTTTTGGAATGTCAGTTCAGGTGCTACTTAAAAATGGAGAAAAGAAACCAGCTATAGGAGAGGACTTCCAGTCAGAATGGAGGAAAGGCTTGGCAGAATGTTTAGCTTCGAAGTTATTTTTGCTTCTGACAGCGTTTTGCCATTGCAGTTTCCACATGAGGGTAGTCTACGGTTTTGTTGCCTGAGCTACTGAGTTTAGCGCTTGGTTGCAGCCCTGTGAGCTATGTTTCTCCTGTGGATTGCCTTTCAATTGTGCAGCGGTTGTGTTGTGGTATTCAGTATGGCTAGTTGCCGGTTTACGTGTAAGCTGGTGAAATACCTTTTGTAATAATTCTGCATGTGTATAGTAACCAACTTATCGTACCAGACTACTTCCATCAACAGCAAACTGTATTTCTGGTGGCAGTGGTTGGCTTTGGTGCCTCCAGCAACTGATATAAGCATTTACTGCATGCACATATTCCTGGATTGTTCCGGTACTAGTTTTTTGTTTGCCAATTGTTCACTTGCAACAATGAGGGACATTTAATTTGATTTGCACTGGCACAGGAACTTAGCAAGTATGGGGAAACCTGATTGTTGTGATGTTGAAACCTCGACTAAGACTAAAACCAGCTATAGGAGAAATTTGTAACTGGTTGAAAAGATCCTGGGATAATGTGAAGATTGAGACCATTTGTCAGGTCATTCAAGAAGTGGGCATTTCAAATGCTCCAGATGGAATTGAGGATGAGGCAGTATAGGAAGACAGTGATTCATCATCAGACATAGATGAGGACAAGTTAAAGAAATATTATATTATTGAAAGTTTGATAGTGCAGGAGAGTTTTCTGGATTCTATTATGAATAACTTTGTGTGATCACATTTTTATTTCCAAATTTCCAGTTCCAAAATCAGGGTGTGTCTTGTACAGGGATGTTTCCTTTGAAGGTGAAGTTCATTTGGCTAATAGGCAAAGAACCAAAAGTCTGCATACAAATAAGCCAGATACGTGAAATGGATGTGAACACAAAACTCAAGGTCTGAAACTGGACTAAAGTCCAGAAGTGGATGAACAACCAAAACTTTCTGCCCGAGTTTACAGCCAGTGAACACTGAGACAAGGAAGAAGAAGAAGATAAAAGTACCAGTAATAATGACGTCATCTATCGATTTGGTCTACAATATTTGAATGTCACCATATACAAAAGAAGGTCATGGGTTCAAGACCTGACGGAGCCAGACTTTTTTCAGAAATGAACTTGTCGCCAAGTCAACCCAGCCTCAAATGGATATCAGGTACAGTCCTGGGTGGTAAAGGTGGCTGGCGTACTGTTGACCACATCTCCCACCCACGGCCGATTGGTCTATAAAATATAGGTCTAGCCCGATATGCCCAATATGCCTGAAGGTGTGGAAAAGAGTCCTCAAAAAAAAAAAATTTTTTTTTAACTTACCAAATACCAAATATAACCCAAGGTGTGCAAAGAAATCTTTTACTTTTTTGCTCTATTTACATGTTATCAAATCCACATACTGAGTTTCAGTTGATCTGCCATTTTTATATTTCACGTTTATTTCTACTCTGCTATTTTTATATTTCAGGTTTATTACAAGACCTTTGTTCAATGTTGATGGCTAGCGGTGTCCCTGCAGATGTTCTTACTGAGGTATGCATGATAAAAACTGTATTTATTGTAAAATGTTAAGTAGTCACTGTTTTAGTAACTTACAAACTACTACAAGCTGCTAAGAGAACGAGATTTTGTCTTTTGGAAAACAAAGTAAAATGTAGGACAAGGTTTCTTCTTTTAGGAAGCTGCAGAACCTTAGTGGCTAAACACTCACTTGCTAGCTGAAAATCTTCAGTTTTTTTATGTATGTTTTTCAATACTGATTTTAACACCCAGCTCATCCCAGCCTACAATAGGTACCAGATAATGCCCTGTGACGTAAAGGCAGCTAACATATTCTTGACCACATCACTCATCGAGTGTCGATCAGCCTAAAAAAAATACGTGGCTCGCATCATATGCCCAATGTGCCTCTGGCATATGAAGGGTTCTTTCTTCTAGACAGGTGTATCAGGTCTTGAACTCCCAGTGTACGTGTTTAGTGGCTATATTTTTTGGGGAAAAAAAGAATATACCTATTGCACCTCTAACAAGCATTGTCGTACAAGGCGACTAATTAATTAGGAATATTTCCTTTGAAGTTGGAGTGCATCTGCCTGAGAGGTAGAAACCAACAGTCTGCATATAGGTAAGCTAGATTTGTGAAACAGATGTGCACCCACAACTCAAGGTCTTGAACATGACAAAAGTCCAGAAGTGGATGAACAACGAGAAGGTTCTGCCAGCATTTACAGCCGGTGAACATAAGATGAAGTTGAAGAAAAAAGTTTTCAACAATAAAGTACTAAAAAACTGGAGGAAGCTACCAAAATAGGTCTAATTCTAGTCACTCAGTATGTTACCTGCTGATTTGTGACCTGGTTATGTCCCAGTATATTTTTCTGCACCTGAAAACTTCATGTTATAGCAGGACAGACCATGTTCTTAGCCTTGGTTGGCAGCTGGTCTAGGAGGGAAGCTGTAATAACTGAGTGTGATAACTGCCAAAATACAGAATATTGTGAAAGTGGGGATGGGCGTTTGGATAGGTGATTGATGAATACACATGTAATTCAGTTGTGCACTTGCTAGTGAATTATGACACAGAAAGAATAATCAAACCAGTGTAATGTAGGAACTGTTATCATACAAATTAGCCATTACCATTGGGAAGATTGAGCACTTTTAGTTGTCCCCTAGTGCATATTTAAATCTGTTGTTAATAATTACAGCTGCAAAACTGCAGTCTTACTCTCCATTTCTCAATGTGACAGACAATAAACACGGTGGCAGAAGTTATCCGAGGCAGTCATCATAACCAGGAATACTTTGCTTCTGTGTTAGCTCCGTCCACTCCCCCAAGGTATTTTTTTGTATGAGTGTTAGCATGCATGGATAAGTCACCTTCATGAATAAACTTCTGTTGTTCTTTTGCTAAATTTACATTAGCAGATAATGTTTCACCCTCTTCTTTTCTTATTCACACATTCTTTTCTTCCTTTTTCCTCCACTATTTTTCCCTCTTCTCACCTCCTAATGCTCTTCCTCTAATTTTGTTGTTAGTGAAGAAAAGCATCCTGAATATTTGTCATGAGCACAGCCTTTATTCAAAACTATATAATCCATGTATGCAGTCAGAGAAAAACTTCTTTAAAAGATTTCAACTTGTATTTTACACGCCTTCAAAATAAATATACACATTCACTTTATATTGAATTTGTGAACCATAAAACAGTCTTAGTATTGAAATGGGATTTATGTGGAAATTGACGAGGCAGTGTGAAATCCCATGGAGTGTGGAGTCCCACGGACAGTTATTAGCTTAATAAAAGCAACTCATAAGAACATGATCTGCAGAGAGGAACTAAGGATTACATTTTAAACAAGAAAAACAAGTGCAACATCATACCTTTTGTATACTTTGCTCTGCTCTCTGACTGTGCCCTGTACCAACTATCACTAGAAATGGGAGAATCTGCAGGAGATAGCAGAGGATATGAGCACTTAGTGGAGTTTTTGCAGATTTGTGTTTCACTGGGAGATGAGAAGCAAAAGCTTTGAGATTCTAAATTCATTTTTCTTTAGTGAGTGAGTTAAGGACTAGTGTTCCATTGGCAGATAGAAAGCAAAAGCAGTGGAATCTAAATTCCTTTTCTACAAGCCCAGCGGAATTTAAATTCATTTTTTTGAGTAAGTTAGTTAGGGACTTGTGTTCGATTTGGAAATAGGAAACAAAAGCAGTGGAATCTAAATTTCTTTTCTACAAAAGCAGCATTATCTAAATTCATTTTTCTTTAGTGAGTGAGATAAGGACTTGTGTTCCTTTGGGAGATAGAAAACAAAAGCAGCAGAATCTAAATTCCTCTTCTTCAGCGTGTTGGTAGAAAGCAGAAGCAGCATACAAATAAGCCAGATATGTAAAATGGTTTTGCATGCAAAATTCAAGTTCTGGAACAAGACCAAAGTCCAGTAGTGGACAACCAGCTAGAACTTTCCACTAGAGTGTGCAGCTGGTGAACGCTAAGAAGAAAAAGAAGTTTCAGTTCTTATTCTTCTGCATTTGCCCTTAGAAGGGTGGTTGGCAGTGATGTAGTTTACAGCTAGACTGCAGTATCTCCAGTTTTTGCATCCAATTTCATCAGACCCCTAAATAATCACCTTTTATGACTTTTTTGTTAGTGAAAAATGGATCAATTATTTCCCTCATAATTGGGCTTCAGAACTGCACTGGGAGGTTCCTTTTTACTTTTACACTGTTTCAGACAGCATGGAAAACAATTTAACTCTTTGAGTCCCAGAGGGTTAAGCATTACAGGCCCAAGGGGTAGTCAAGAGAGACGTAAAATCGGTGCATCGTGCGTTCATTGGGCTTCTAGGCAATAATCTATGAACGCATGCTGAGTTCCTTGGGACTCAAAGAGTTAAATGATCTATTTCTTTTGTTTACAGACCTGCCATAGTTGTCCTACTGATGTCCATGGTTAATGAGAAGCAACCATTTGTTCTGAGATGTGCCGTCCTGTATTGCTTTCAGTCATTTCTGTACAAGAATGAGCTAGGACAGTCACAGATTATACAGACTTTACTACCCACAGCTGCTGATGGTAAGCATCATTTGACCCTTACTTTCTGTGGCTGAAAAATTGAACTTTGGCATAGATTTAGTGCTGTCTTCAAAAGAGGCAACCATTCTATCTGAGATGTGCCGTCCTGTATTGCCTTCAGTCATTTCTTTATAAGAACGAGCCAGGACAGTCACAGATTATACTGACCTCAAGCATCATTTGACCATTAATTCTTTGTGTGCCTGAGAACCTCTTTATGGTTTGTATTGAATTATGTACTGTCTCTCCAGTGGTAATTGGCCGCTGGGATCATTTACATCCACTGCTGTCTTCAGGAATATTCTTTAGTGAGGCCCCAATCTTTTCCACAGTGCAACTTTCATATCTCTTTCTGAATTCCAGGATACATTTTTTAAATAGATTTAACTCTTTAGTAATATTCTTCTTCAGTTCGCTTGGAACAGATTATCTATATCTGCAGTGTTGTCTCTAGTATGAGCTTCACTATCTGTTGTAATTCAATCAGCAACCCTTAAAGTTTGGCTTGCTCAGGTGTTTATCTTGGCTGAAAGTTTTGCCTTGATATGTTGTATTTAGGACAGTCTTGGAGGACATGATCTGTTGTCGCAGGTGCTAATCCAGATGTACACATGGCTGATTCGCCAATCTTAAATTTTGTTTGCATGTGGCAGCGAAGTCAAAGTGTCCTGTTCTAAGGCGTAGAATAATGACTTGCTCTGGTCTGTACATTATATGGTAATCATCTTTTGCATTTCTGATTGATTTGATTATTTTCTTCTTCTTTTGATAAAGAGACTGTTACATCAGGTTGTTTTTCATTTGTACCTTCCTGAGCTAGTTCATCAGCTCTTTTATTTCTGGGAACTCCACAGTAGGATGGTATCCATATCTATAGTAATGCACATGACAAGATGCAACGAAATATGCCTGGCAGAAAATTGTGCAGTGTACGGTTTGTTGTGCATTATTTAAAAATTTATATATTTATATTAACTCATCATATACCAAGCAGTGTATCATATGATGCTGTGATTTGTGCAACTCCCGATGTATAAGACAGTTGTTACATTAATCCTCTGTATCCTGATTTTACCTATACACATTTGTGTTCTGACTTGGCAAAGCTGTTAAACCTTTTATTGTGCCCTCTTAAAGTTTAGGGTATTATTTTCGACTGCATATTTGTGTTATGAGCACAGATGTTTAGTAGATCCTTGGGAGTAGTCACTGGAGTTAGGTAGCTACATGCTGTGTGCACTCTTAGCGGGCGAACAGCCTCTCTGGGAAGAGAGACTGAGACACTTGGGATAATACTTTGTGCAATGAAGTTCATCCTCTTGCCTTTAAATATCTATTTAGCTAGCCACCTTGCACAAAAAATTAACAGCATCAGCTCCTTTCATTTTCTGTTGTGAGAGTCAGAGCATTTGTGGGTTTGCAAGATGTGCACTGAAATAAATTCTTTATTATTAATAACTGTACACATTAAAATTTGTTCTATGCATCAGCAAACTCGATCACCGCTGGCCAGCTGTTGTGTGGAGGCTTGTTTAGCGCAGATCCCTTGTCCAACTGGTTTGCTGCGGTGGCATTGCTTCATGCTATAATTGAAAACTCAACACAGAAAGAGCAGCTGCTGCGTGTCCAGCTGGCCACCAGCTTAGGCAGTCCGCCAGTCTCCCTGCTGCAGCAGTGTTGTAACATGTTGTCTCAGGTGAATAACTTTTCTTACTTGTCATTTGTACATTGTCTGTTTTTACATATTAATTTTGCTTTTATTTGTCAGTATTTTAATTGAGTCATCTCAGTTTACATTCCAGAGCCCCATTTTGGGTTTTAACAAAAATAAAAATGAAGACCCACTATCCTTTAACAAGCATATCATAAAAGATAACTCATGAGGGTTTTACTTAAGCTAGATGTATTGAGCCGAATGGCACAGATATCTCAGCCTAGCCTTAAACTCCAACACAATTACCAACTGCCCTGTTAAAAGGTAAACACTGAAGCAGAAGCTCCCATTGGCCATTTAAGCATAACAGTGGTTAAACAGATTAGTAATTGAAGGCATCCTTTGGTCTATTCAAGATGACCTAGAGGCATACCAGCACAGCAGGGGACACATGTCATTGCAAATACTTTGAAGAAGATAGAAAAAATAAAACCTCGCATGAAATTATGGTGTATTTATTTCCAGTTCAAATTTGGAGATTGTGATGAAAAAGTTATGAGTTTATGTACGGATATAAAACAAATCACAAATTAAAAAAAAAAAAAACAGAGTTAGAGCAGATCACATATTGAAACAATAGATAGTTAAAAGATTGCGGTTTCTTTGCTTAATACACAGTCGAGACTAATTTGTGAGCTAGTTGTTCAAATATAAAACTATATGTTTTTAAAAAACTTGACTTACATTGGTCGAACAGACTTGAAAACAAAGTGGCAGAGCATATCCTCAAATAGTTCAACACACAATTGAGTTTAGATCCTGTATCAATCGGCCAAGAAGAGAGAATCCAGTTCTTCAATAGGATGTCATTTGCTTGACTCCAGGCACATAGTTGTTAAGGATTATGCTTTTAGAATTATGTGCCACACATTGAATAATACTAAAACTACCTGAGGCCCTATAAAAAAAACTGAACTCATGTTTTATACGGATGAAAAGATCACGTAATAATTTGAAGTTACCATGTAATCACATGACTGATCTTGAATTTCCATGGAGAAATTTACAGCCTAACTTAACAGTGACAATGTGATCTTGTGTTTCATTTTATGGGGATTTAAACTTTTTAGTAATGCACCTGATAAGTTACATAAAAATATGACAGGCAGGTTAATTTGGCAGTATAGTATTTGTGTCCGCATTATTTAAATTGACAACGGAAAACATCATTTCAACTGTTGAAACATACTACATCTTTAAATAGAACCATCTAGAACAGTGGTTCTTCCCTTTAATGGGCCACTGACAAATGTAAGGGGCCTGTGATATCATTTAAAACACTCTCAAAAACCTCAACTTTAGAATGCAGTTTTTGTGTGTGGATGTGATTCTAAAATGATAATTACAAATTATAATTCTTTACCAAAAAAAAAAAAAAAAAGTTAGTTGCGTATCCTTTACAGGACATTGCAGAACCAACCCCAGCATTTTTTTGGGGGGGCTGTTGTGTTTTTTCTTGGCAAATTTACATCCAGTAGTTTGCCATTGCTCTCTGGATGTTCGGCTTCTGGAAACCACCGTTGAAACCAACGCAAGGCGCAAGGCCGGCAGCTAGGATCAACTCCTGCATTACAAAGCTCATTCACAACGCCTGAGCCACAGACGCAGACAGTTTCTTCACTATAACTATTAAAAAGTATGGAGTTCATGGCACCTTTTGAAATAATAAGAAAGATATCTGTATGTCTTAGCTAATTCAGAACCACTGATTTAGAGAATTTATATTGCATGTTTTTTTGTAATGTATACTTTTGGTGCTTACAGCATATTCTGTGTTCATACAGGGAGGGAAGTTACAAACCAGGATTGGCCTTCTGATGATTTTGTGTGCTTGGCTGGCAGATTGCCCTATTGCTGTCTCACATTTCCTCAACAATACTGCCAATGTTCCTTATGTATCCTTACTTTTTTGGGGTGTTTTTTAACATAAACGGTACTATGTATGTAAACATTTTTTTTAAAGGAGGAAAAAAGGGGGGGGGGGGGGGGGGGGGGGGGTTTAGGAAAACAGCCTTTTATAGAGCTGTAAATTTAATTTATTCATTTATTATTCTATTATGTCATGTATTGAAAGGCACAATCCATGAAATGAACCAATGACCTTCGAGTGCGAGGTGAATGATTTTACCACTTGGTCGTAGAGACCCAAAAAAATGACGCTTAGTAAATTAATAAGTAGTTTTAAAGTAAGAGAAAGAGTTAAGTTATAAACATGTGCTTTTGTAACAAGTAACCAAACAGTTTTCATACAGACTCACTGTGGACGAAGTAGCCACCGCCATAAGAGAGAAGTCGAACACTGCGCAGGAGTCGACATTTTAAATTACTCCATGATAAAAATACTTTCCTTCAAAATTCTCATCATAATCACCAAACTTCTCAGCGATATCTGGATAAGTGGTACAATCTCAAAACAGTGTAAGAAGGGGCTGGTCATACCAATTGTAAAACCACATAAAGACCACCAGAATGCGGACCAATAGCCCTGACCTCCCACCTTAGAAAGGTCATGGAGACAGTCTTCAACAAACGCCTAGTCTTCTTAGAGAAAGAAAGTAAGAAAAAGAGTTAACTTTTAAACATGTGTTTGTGTAACAAGTAACACATTTGTATTTTCTAAGAATATGTAACTTTTTGTTTTTAACATTTGTACTTTGTTTCTTGCTCTTTTTAAAGAAGGCAACATATGAACCTGTGTGATCTAAAGGACCATTTTCACATCTTTGGCATTAAGGGCATATATTGCCAGTACCTATATTGTTATTGACTTATCAGCACTCAGTGAGTGATGTCATCAACATCACACAGGCTGCCTTTACTTACCAGTACTTTACCTGGTACCACAAGATACTGAAAACCAGTACCTCGAGAGAATGTTGCAGTGGGGGGTGTCTCTGGACTCTGGGCGGCACTTGGAGGAACAGCAAGATGAGTAGTTATCAAGATATCAATGGGTACCATTAGTGTGGAGACCCTTCGCTGGCTGTTGAGAAGGGAGACAGAGCTAACGTGTGCTTATCCTGAATGTTATGATGTTGAATCTTTACCCAGATGAACTCAGTACCTGGCACCACTTTTAAACTGGGTCGACTTAGGAGCCAAGGTCAGTTTTGAAAACGTCTGCTTTGATGCAGATTTGAACTCTAGTCTTTCATACCTGCCGGGCATCAGGTCACTATGGCCTGAGGCTCCAAAAAAGTTGTGTATGTTATGTCTTATTAATAATCTTCTTTAACTCAAGTTTCTTAGCTGATATCTCAAGTGTCTTCTAGTGAAGGAGATGAACATGAAGCCATCATCCAAGGGCTGTGTGCTTTCCTCCTTGGCATCTGCATGTTGTACAATGATGATTCAAGCAAGACTTTCTCCAAGTATGTGATCCTTTATTGCTTTTTTGACTTTTGGATTGGATTAAATATTTCACACAGCCTGTGGGAATTAACGATAGAATATTGTTCAATTATTACATTAAAGACATAACATTATTTTAAAAGCCCATTAAATGGCATACTATTCTTTTATAAGCCATACTGGAAGGAAAAGTCTAAGACGAGAGATACAAATGGGACCGTAACACCAATGAATGGACAAACAGTAGTTTGAGAGAGTGTAGAACTAAGACTAGAGACAAAGTTGGAGATCCATTGCAGCCACTTTCATTGTGGAGACAGCACCTGATTGATTGATTGATTGAGTGTTGATTGCAGTAT